ATATCTGGAGGAGTTGTATTGTGGTCCAGCTTACGAAAAACATGCGTCTTCAAAGCCTTACCGATTCAGAAGAACGTGAAGAGGTTGTTCGTTCGCTGAATGGATAACGAGCATTGGAGATGGAATCATAGGAGGGTCTGACAATGGTTGTGCAATAATAAAAATATACGAGCATATATTGCTTCAACCCTCTCATGATCTAATTGCCCAAATTTAGAAAGCATGTATCCAATGTTTAAGTAGGCAACCGATGATCCCAGTTATTTAAAGGACATGACAATATTAGTGACGACACTACATGTGGTTGAGTCTATCGATGAGTACACGACGTAGTTGAATTTATCTGACAGTCAGACATACTTAAGTTCTGATAGTACTTGCAAGTCGGACTCTAATAACGATTTTCAAGCTGAGTACACGATGTAGTTGAATTTATCTGACGGTCAGACGTACTTAAGTTCCGATAGTACTTGCAAGTCGGACTCTAATAACGATTTTCTGGCTGATATCCACACTCCTGAATTCTTAAATAGTATCAAATGTTCCGAAATTCCTAATCACTAGTTGCATTTGAAGATTAGAACTCCCGTCATGTTGTTCCATAACATGGATCATTCTATGGATCTATGCAATGTGACGCGGTTGGTTGTCACAAAACTTTCCACTCATGTTCTCGAGTGTAAGATACTAACTGGAGATCACGTAAGTGAGAAGGTGTTGATTCCTAGAATGACTATAACTTCTTCCGATGTCCGAATTCATTTCAAGTTCCAGAGGCGTTAGTTTCCCATTATGGTATCGTACCATGACTATCAACAAGAGTCAGGGACAATCGTTATCGCATGTTGGTTTATTTCTTAAGAAGCATGTGTTGAACCATGGATAGTTATATGTTGTTGTCTCATGTGTCACCAACCGAAGTAGTTTTAAAATATTTGTTTGTGGTGACGATGACTCGCCGCCAAATAAAAAAAAATGTTGTGTACAAAGAAGTTTCCAATAATTTGTGAATTTTGTAATTTGCGCCCAACGTGTTTATTTTTGTTACAAATATAACAAATTCATTAAATTTAATAGTTAATATTAAATAATGTTTAAAAATATATCATCCCGTGCATCGCACGAGTGGCGACTACTTTGTATACTCAAAAAAATTAGGCACAAAATGACTTTGAACACATAATACAGTAAGCACCAACACAATAATACAAGGCAACAACATCTACTAAATCAACACCACTTAGGCAAATACACAAATAAATACATTTAGAAAAAATTACTTAAGAGAATAGTTCACATAATCACATAGTTCAATTAAGCAATTAATTCACATAATCGTATAATTCAATTAGGCAAACAATTCACATAATCACATAATTCAAATAAGCAAATATTTACAATAATGCACAAATAAACACTTAGCATACAAGACACAAAAAGAATAAAGAAAACCATTATTTAACTAAGTCCAGCAATGCGATGGAATGAGTTAATAGAATAAAACGGGGCGTCACAATATTAATCCAACATTTTCAATTTATAATTATTATTTAATATTATTTATTCACATCTTTATTTTATAATTATTGTTTAATATTGTTTACCCGTGCATCTCACAGGCGCTACTAGTTTTAATGAAACATATTTTTTTTTACAACATGATAAAGTAGTCTTAGAGAAAATTGCAAATATGGTCCAAAACTTTTGTTGTTTCCCACATTTGGTCACAGGCACGCCATTTATGGTCCTTTTTTTTATTTTTTGTTGCCAAAACGGTACCACTCCGTCAAGACTTAACAGTCTTCGTCATTAAGACGTTAGTCATTATTTTCAATTTGGACAAAATTGCAAATTTGGTCCCGAAACTTTTGTCGTTTCCCACATTTGGTCACAGGGGAATATTATTGGCTACTTCGGGCCCGATGTTCAATCTTTCAAACATACATGTGTCATCGTCGAGTTTGTAGATTCACAATTATCATTTCTCCGAGACGTATACATGTGACCCTTAACCGAGGTCGGGTGGCGGGATTCTTGACCTCTCTTATACTTTCAAATGTCATAGTGTCCGGTTGGCTTATGGATCGAGATGCTTTTTGTACAATCGCTCGAATGACTTTATTTTGCACCGAGGATTTTCGTATTATTTTCTCTATTCCCACCAGAAGAATAGCATTGGACACACGATGGTGCACCACCGTGTAGTGTATGTGCTTTCTTTTCCTTATTTTCTTTTTTCTCTTATTTTTTGCTTGTGTTCGTGCTTGTTTTCTTTTCTTATTGTCATTTATTGTTTTTCAATTTTTTCTCGCATGAGTTTGTGTGATTATGTGGTCTATCCCATGTTTTTTGGTCAAACAATGAGGACATTGCTTTGTTTTAAGTGTGAGAGAGGGATTTTCGTGATCATGCATGCTTAGGCGGTATTTCGTTTTAGGTGCTTTATTTTTCGTATTTGTTGTGTCATGGACCGGTTTTTGTTGTTGTTTTTGTGTTTATGTCGATTTCCCCACATGAAGCTTGATATTTGGTTAAAGCCAAGATGGCTAAGTGGTGAGTTAAGATTGTCGTTCGGTATCATTGTTAATTTTCATGCTTTATGTACTTGATGAATTGGATGGTTTCTTAAAATTAAATGATGATTTGTTTGAACCCGCATTTGAATTCACGGAATTGTTTTGCTCCTTGTTTTTTCTCGATTGGTGATCATGAAACATTCTTGCCTTGTGTTCAACCGTTGTAATCGTGTTATGTTATACACTTGTGGTACGTCTTGATTGATTGTTGATGTTAATGTATTGTATCGTGATGTATCCTTGTGTGCCGCTCCCTTTGAAAAATTAATAATAATAAAATGTGAGTTCGCGAGGAAGTACGAATTAGGCTCCTCTTATTTCGATTCACTTCATGAAATGTGATAATGAGCCGGGGAAACCGGTCTAGGAAACTTGACGAAACCCCTCGAGGCTAAACCTAGATAATCCTCGTCCGGAAACTTCGTTTGGAAAAAGAAACTCACAAAAAAAAAAATGAATAAAAATGAGCTCATGAGAGTTGAAAGAATTAGACTCCGTTTGACCCAGTTTGTCTCTTTCGAGATAAATCGGGGGCAATGAGTAAGGAAAACCGGCCTAGGAGATTCGGGGACAAACTCCGAGGATAAACATAGGTAATAATCGTTCTAACGACTCTCATTTGAAAAAATTTACTCATATATATATAAAAAAAAAAGAAAAAAAAAGAGAAAGAGAGAATGAGGAGTTGGCTATGTGGTTTCATTTTTATTTGCTTATTATATGTTGAGTAAGACCATCTATTACTTTTTGCACGTATATTTGGAAAAAATAGAGTTTGAATCGAGTAATTCATGCGTAGAATGACTCGAGATGGATTTTTGTTTTGTATGGATTCATCTTATGGGGATCGTGTCTCCGAATTCGAGTTTAATTTTGTGGATAATCGGAGGAAGACCAGAGTTTCATTTCGCATGATTATTAATTTTGTACCGTTCGATTTTTTTCTCGAACTACTTGGGACAAAATGCGGGAAACAACAAAAGTTTTGGGCCCAAATTTGTAATTCTCTCCAAATTAAAAATAACGACTAACGTCTTAATGAAAAAGACTGTTAAGTCTTGACGGAGTGGTACCGTTTCGACAACGAAAATAAAAAAAAAAATCATAAATGGCATGCATGAGACCAAATATGAAAAAACAACAAAATTTTTGGAAATGCAATTTTTTTTAGTCATGTTCAATGTGAACGAGGCCTAAGGAGAGTATATATTACTGTCGGCTTCACCCGAGCAAAGACCCTTTATCCCCGTTCCACATCCCTTCCCTTTGAATTTCTCTTATTTTTGTTCTTATTTTTCACCACGGCAAATTTTGTTGTACTGTTTACAAGTGTTGCTGATCCGGAATTTGTAGCGGATTTCGTAATTTTTCTAAAGCTGATTAGTGAAGAACAACCCCATTGATGTGACAGAAGCTCGTGTGGCTGTGATTTGGTGGATACAAAGCGTGGAATCTTTTAGGGTTTAGGTGGATAAGGAAGGGGCTTAATTTGGTATGTGTTTCGATTATGTGTTAAGTGTGGGGTACTTATGGTATCGGGTTTTACTTTTGTAGATACTTGAAAACTGAATAAAATCTTTAAGCGCTTTTTGTGGATGTTTATGTTTATGTTTATGTGGATATTGAATTCTGTAAGTTTGGGTTCATCCCTTCGGAATCTTGTTAGTGTTAGGCTTTGAGTTACTTTTGTTGATCGAAGATTTGTAATTACTCGACCTTTACTTGCTTGAGCACTGGTGTGGTTTTTCTGTATTCATGTTAGTCAGCAAGAAGTAGAACTTGTTCGTATTGCTCCGGAACAACCCACCTAGTATTCAAATTGTTCCTTCGTCTTAGATCGGCTTCGTTTAAAATGTTGGAAAAGGTAAAATGACATGCTGTCTATGTTTTGTTCGCAATGTATACATGTATGTTGTGTCTCTTGAATTGATGTAAGTTAGGGATTTTAGCATTGTTTCAATTTGATTGAGCTGAGAGTATTATATGTCGGTTATTCTTCTTGGTTCAGTAGTACTTGAGGTCTTTGTGGTGTTTGTCTTGCGGATAGTTGTTGAAGAAGCAAGAATTAATATGGAAGCTTATGAATAAAGTTTAGTTAATTTTACTTTTCAGATAAAGTTACCCTGAACTTGGGGTAATATATAAAAGCTTGGTGATATCTGTTTCAAAGGTTCACATTTTCTGAATGGTAAGTATGTAATAAAGTGTGCTACGGACAAGCTTTTTGCTGTATTCCAAGCTGAAAGTGGAGGGTTTAGGTGCTTTTTGTATTTGTGTGAGGATTTCTTATCATAGTGCATGTGTTCAATTTATTATCGACACTATTTATGATTTGTGGATATGCCTTCTTTATCCAGGGTAAGGCCCATTGATATCAGTGAACTAGATAAATAACTAAACGCTGTATATTGAGTGAGTTCTCTTATGGCTCACCTTGCTGTGAATCACTTTGCTGGAGGGCGTCCCCCAGGTGCGAATCATCCATTCTGAAACTCTGTGCTCAGTATGAAGTTGAATATCCTTTCTATCTGTTTGATGTCACACACGTGTTTCATGGAACTCACCTCCTTTTGTGTCAACCTGTCACTTAGTAGTATGAACTATTAGTCTAGCATGCTCGTGTTTTTTTTTTTCCTCGTCTTTTCTATTTTCTTTTGCATTCAAGGTTTTTGATGAAACTGATTGCTTATTCCTCATAGATCTTGCTGCTATTCTATGCTACTGCTGCAATTTTTTTTTGTTGAAAATAACTTCACTGTTCTTCGATGGTGTTTATAAATAGTTTTTCACGTTGATATCGATTAAGACATCGAATTTCTAGTGTTTTAGGTTAAAGAGCACGAGCTTCGTTTTTTACTGGTTATTGTGTTTGTTGTTAAAGTGTTGCAAGGCTTCCAGAAGTATGTGAACTGCTAATGTTCTGAATATTTTCACCTTCTTATTTTGTCTTTTACTTATTTGGTTTACAGGGCAACCAAATGGCGCACTGTACAAAGAACTTTGGCATGCTTGTGCTGGGCCACTAGTCACTGTTCCACGTGAGGGTGAACGAGTTTATTACTTTCCGCAAGGTCACATGGAACAGGTCTCCTTGTTTCTCCTTGTTCTCACCAAATTTCTTCTCTCGATTGCAATGCTTATGTTCCTCACTTTAGTCATATGATTGGGGTTTCAAAAGATCTGTACGTTTATATGATACTGTTTTCTACCCTGCAACGTTTCCTGAGATAAAATCCAAACATTTAATATAGCTTTCCCTTCAACTACTACCTTTCTCTTTCTTCAAATATTTCGTACAACTCCACAACCGATAGAAACATATTCAAAGTTAAATTGAAATCATTATAACTTCTTTTAGGTGTCTTTTATTTCCTCTCTCTCTCTCTCTCTCTCTCTAAAGAATGATCAAAAGAAAAAAATTATTATGCGTTCGTGCTATATTCCTTTTCTTTTTACTTCCCTGTCCCTTGAGTTTTGTATGGGCCATGTGTCTGTCTCTTTTATTCCTTCTACATTGAGCTGATCTCTCTCCAAGATACATATGTTTTGTGGTGTTGTATCACTTTTCACGTCCCTACTGTAATTTTTTACTCACTTGTCACTACTTTATTGATGTCTTCTAGCTTGAAGCATCAACACATCAGGGACTAGATCAACAACTCCCTTCATTTAACCTACCTAGTAAGATCCTTTGCAAAGTGATGCATGTTCAGCTTCGGGTAAGCTTCCTTGAAGCATACTTTCTAAGTACATTTTGTCATTTTGGTGACTTTTGTTTGCTAGAAATTTAATCACTTCTGCTTCAATATCCATTTTCTCTACTCGTCCAACTCAAATTGCAGGCTGAACCAGACACGGATGAGGTGTATGCTCAGATTACATTGATTCCTGAACAAGACGTAAGTTCCATTACCTAATTTACTACTTGTAGACTTGTTCGATATTCAATAGTATACGTGCAACTACAAGTTTTGAAGCCAGTTCTGTTGTTTCCCCTTTCCTGATGGGCCTCAATGAGTAGCTTCTTGTTTTTGGAGAATATGTAGCTTGCAATTATGCAATTCAGTTGTTTTGCCTTTCTGAATAGAGTCCATTGGTTGGTACTTAGTTATGGATTGAGATTTGAATTGGACATTTATGTAGTAAGTTTGGTAACACTATATCTGGACTAGTTTTATATGCTATATATTTCACTTCTGAAATGTGGATTGTGTTCTCTAAAGTTTGGTGCCTGGTCAAGTAAGAGAAGATGGATGGGTTGTCTACTTCGACTATTCCAGCATTTTTTACAGTTGCTTGCAGCATAACTGCTCGTCTGAGTTTCTATTGGTAATACTAATGGATATTGTTTGTCTATTTGGTGGATCAGCAAAGTGAGATCACAAGTCCAGATCCGCCTCTACCGGAGCCAGAAAGGTGCACTGTCCACTCATTTTGCAAGACTCTCACAGCTTCTGATACCAGCACCCATGGTGGATTCTCAGTTTTGCGAAGGCATGCTGATGATTGTTTACCCCCATTAGTAAGAATTTTAGGATTTTGATATTGTGTATATCTCTCCGCATACGCACAAACAAAAAGGAAAATGAAAAATGGAATGTAAGGTTTTTGTTCATGTTGCAGGATATGTCTCAGCAACCACCATGGCAGGAATTGGTAGCTTCTGATCTTCATGGAAATGAGTGGCATTTCCGGCACATTTTCAGAGGTTAGAATCAAATTTGCAAACGATGCCTTGGATACACACCCATTTTGAAATTCTGTTGGTGAGAGAATAGTGATAAGAAGAAAAAAATGAATTTGTATGTAAATGAGGAAATCGTGAAATTTACCGAGAAAATATGTATTGATGATTAGATATTAGACAGCCTTGTCTAAAAGTGAATTGAAGTGATTGGTGAGAGAAAAAAGTGACGTTGAATGAATTATATTTTAGCTTTAGATTTTTTTAGGCAAGCACTTCACAACTTATCATTTTGTGAAAAAAAATTGAACTGAAAAGGCATCGGGTCATGCCTTTAATTTTCATTTTATTTTTTCTCTGTGTTTCTTTTTCTTTATTATTGTTTTTACATTTTCTATGTCCTGCGAAGATTGGAGTTGTGTCCTGGTTTTTTTTTTTTTCACCATGCATCCAACCCAAGACCTTTCTTGGGCTGATGATTGTGCAAAATTGTCCTCATCATGATGACACTTTCATATTAATTCAGAGTTCTGAACAGTGTTATCAAATGGCGGCCATGGCGGCGCCATGGCGGTATGGCGTGGCGGATTTTTAACAATCCGCTATGCAAAATTTGTGAATGATGGCGTTCATGGCGGCGCCATAGACCGCCACGGCGGCCGCCATGGCGGCCGCAATGGCGGAATTTTGGCAAAACGCCATGTACCGCCATCCGCCATTAATAACACTGGTTCTGAATAATATTGACCCTACAAGGAGTAAAAGAGAATTAGGTGTAAAAAATTAGCATAACAGTACCTGCCTGTTAAATGGGTCATGAATAACTTTTAGAGTTCTGGCTAAGGTGCTTTCAGCTAGGGTATGGAGCCTGTGGGCATATCTGTCAAAAGTCATGGGTTCTTTGTCTATTGATAAAAGATTTTCTGTTCTACTTCTTTGCTTCTTGGGTTAATGATTTTGTAGAGAAATGCAGCATCTTGCTCACTTCTTTTTTTTGAAAATATAACATGCGAAACTATAGCTCTCTGGTGGCTATCCGTTGTCACTATACGCACATTTTCCATTCCATCAAAGTAATTTTTTCCTCAGTTCCATCTTCCATTGACGTGGATTGGTCTTCTTAGGTCAGCCAAGGCGCCACTTACTGACAACTGGATGGAGTGTATTTGTCAGTGCAAAAAAGTTAGTTGCAGGAGATGCTTTCATCTTCTTAAGGTATGAATATATGAGTGTGAAAATATTGTATTTTTTCTTTCTTAACGTTAGCTGTTCAAAATTGCAGTAATTCTCCTTCAATTTTTGCAGAGGTGAAAACGGAGAACTTCGAGTTGGTGTGCGAAGGCTGATGAGACAACTATATAATATTCCATCATCTGTTATATCAAGTCACAGTATGCATCTGGGAGTTCTTGCCACTGCATCACATGCCATATCCACTCGAACGTTATTTTCAGTGTTTTATAAGCCAAGGTTGTGTGGTCTTCCTTCTTACCATTTCTTCAGTTACTTGATCCAGTTGATATTTATTGGAACCATCTCATGTGTTGCATGGTAACTTTGTGTGCTTTCCACTTTCTTTGGAGTCATAATGTTTAGCTTAGTATGTGATGTCTTATGAGTGGTCTTGTTGAGCAGATTTTAAGTCGTGCTTGACTTATTTCCCTTCATTAATACAGCATCATCGGGTAATATCAATATCATGCTTTGTCATGTCAGTCTTTTTATTCTCTTTGTCTGTATACGTGGTGGCCGTGACTTTGATGTATCGCTTTTAACATGCTGCCATCATATTTACCCAGGACTAGTCGATCTGAATTCATTGTGAGTCTTAACAAGTATCTTGAAGCTAAAAGTCACAAGCTCTCTGTTGGGTTGAGGTTTAAGATGAGGTTTGAAGGTGAAGAGGTTCCCGAACGAAGGTACGTGTGCTGATGTGTGAGAAGATGAGCAATATATACTTTCTTAAAAACTACTATTCTGGGATGTTTATATTTGAATTACATTCAAGTTTTTTCTATGAGTTATATAAAAGAGGATAGATAGAGTATCATAAAAGTAAATGTAAAATGGAAAGGGGAGAAAATATTAATAACTTGAAAGATAATGTTTGAAGAGAATGATAGAAAATAATATGAAGTTCTTAAGTTGAAACTAGGGGTGAACAAAATATGCCAAACCGACTGAAACCGAAACCGAAACCGAAAATTCAGTTCCGATTTTTGTTTATGTGTTCTTAATATACAAGTTTTCGGTCCGGATTTTGGTTCGGTTGTATATAAGTGCTCGATAAACTGAACCAAACCAATAACCGATGTTATACCTACTTAGAAAGCCCAAATGAATGATATTTTGTCTACACCCAAGCCCATTTTTTAAGCCCATCGATAAAAAAGAATTTAGAAAAAATTTCAAAAGCCCTGTTTCTTCTTACACAAATAATCAAACTAAAATAAAAATATAAGCCTAGCCTTAATCACTTATACCAATTTGACAATTCTCAAAATATGCTTGTCTTCAACCCTCCCTATTTTTAATCATGTGTGTATATGTGTATGAGACTTGATAGACTTGTATTTGTGAACAAGGCTTTTTTTTTAAGTATGTTTTTGTGAAATTATTGGTTATCTAACTATTTTATTTTTGTAACTCACGACTTGTAGATTTTTTAAATTTTTAGAATTTCTCCATTTTACTAGCTAACCAGTAACCAAACCGATCCAACCGATTGAATTTTTGTTTAAAACCGAACCGAACCACAAATTTCGGTTCGGGTTTCGGTTTTTACGTTGGACAAACCAAAATTTAGCTCGTTACAATTTGGTTTCGACCGATTGAACACCCCTAATTGAAACAAAGAATGAACTAATCTTTATCTTATCAATGTTATTCAATAGCTGAATGCCTTCTTGAGATATAATTTTTTCTTCATAGCCATTTATTTCTCGTGGTACAAATCCATATCTATAATATAAAATAGTAACTTTGACTTTGTAATTAACTTACTATTAAAGGAAATATAGTAAACATTATACTAATATTTATAAATGGAAAAATAAATATCAAATTATACCTACATGTTGTAAATCGTGTAATTCATTTAATAAAACGACTTCCCATTTAAATAAACTTGTACCAATTTTAAAAATTATTTTGTGATAATTATCGCAATAAAAGTCAGTTTTCTTGTATGATTACGAATCACTGAAATTTTCTTATTCTTTAGGTAATCAACCATACAACATGTCTTCAAAAAGCATCTATTGAATATGTATCGTTTTTAGAAAAATATTATTTGAATATGCACGATTAAAATGAATGTATAATTGTGGAATAAAAATGGAAAATCAGTTATGGAAATTTATTATGATACTTATGACAATGTTAAAATAGGATATTTTTAGCAACATTAATAGCCAATTACAATGATTTCTTATTCATTTTGTAACCAATCATATACCAAAATATTTTTAATCGTATCTTAAAAAAACTTTTAGAATCATTGATTTATTAATAACTCAACTAATTCTTAAACGCATTTTTCCACAATATAAAAAGAAAGTAACTATTTATCCTTAATAACAAATTATTCGTTCTATGCTTTGTAGGACACCCAACCATATTTAGCTTGGAATATGCGTGGGAACATTAAAAAATATAAGTACAAAATGAATTTCAAAATCATTTGCAAAAATCTTATTGACATAACTACCACAATACTAGAATAGAATTGATATCTCAACAAGTCCCTGTTAAGATCCCTCTATCATTTGGTAATGAGCCATATACAAAAAAATATATATTCACTGAGTTAAAAAATATCATTTGATTTTATCAATAATTGCACCGAACCAGTTTGTTTTTTTTTTTTAATCATCACATTGTGATTCACAATATCATAAAAAATTTCACATAGATTAATAGATTAGAAAGAAAAATAGAAATATTTATAATATATATTATTATAGGTTATCAGAAAAAGTAAAACAATAATGACATAATTAAAAATTGATAATTTTTTAACTTCAAAATAATAAATATATTACAGTCTCTTTCAACTTGTTGTTGGTTATAATATTTGACACATATTTTCATCTTTGACATAACTTATCTAGAAATCGACATAATATATGATAATAAGGTATGAGTAAGTAGAGAGAGGGAGAGGGGAAGGGAGGGAGAGAGATTTTGCGAGTAATATATATTGATAATGTTTGAATATATTAACAGGACCTTAAATGAAATCTATTTCATAACGAGTGAAATAATAAATCATATATTAAATTATTATATATCGTAAAATAAAAGAAAAAATAATACAAATATTCAAAACTATTTTTACACTAAACAATACTTCAATGCTTTAATACATGCAATTTATAATTATTGCCACGTGCATCGCACAGGCTACGTACTAGAGGTTAAATACTTATCAACTATTAACATGTGATTGCAAAAAGGATTTAGAAATGTTGTGCACAGTATGTTTCTATTGTTTACATATGATTGGAAAAAGGATTTAGACAAGTATTGTGCACAATTTATTTCTATTGTTTATGTCTTGCAAAATGCATGCTAACTCACCTTGAGTTTTGTTTATATTGAAGTAGTAGTAACAATAATACACAAATAAATCAATTTTATTATTTTCTGTATCTATTTCCCCTCAACTTCAGTTGCAACCTCAATTGTATAACACATTAGAGAACATAGTCATCAATTTCTCAAATACATAATCTTCTTTGAAATGGGATTATCTAATTATGTATAATATTCCATCAGATTATAAAAGGAACAATCACGAAGTAAATTCATATATTTTTTCTTTAAAATTAATGTGTATGCCTCCTCTATTTTTATTGGAATATTAGAAAGGGTGGTATTTTATTAATGGAACTATACACGTCTTTGTAACCTAAAGTACTATTTTTGATAAGATACCTAAAGTACTATTTTTGGTAAGATGCAACCTGAAGTTCACAGAAATCATGATTTGCATCCTTGAGTGCATATTGACCAGAAAATCTGGAGAACCAACTTCACGTGTATGGTCAAGCTGCACTCGAGGTTGTTAAATGAATTTTGTGAACTTCATGTTGCACTTGAAGGGAAATCATGTTGCACTTGAAAAGGGAAATAAAAAACATTAGACTACAAAAGCAAAAAATGTTCATAGTACAGGTGGCAATTTTTTTTTTCCCAACCATCAATTCCTCAAGAGCATAATCAACGTATTTAATCAATCAAGTTCTTATAACACTCTGTTACTAAGGAAACAGACATCTACTAAATGCTTTGCCTTCTTATCAACAGAAAAAACACATACAACATTCGGAAAACTCGTGTTAGAAAGAAATGAGAAATAGATGGTCTCAGATTTCTAAAATATCCATGACAAAACATACTTGAAGTAAAATTAGATGTTCAATTCTGATAAAGTAAATCTAAAGAAGCCATGATTTATGCGGGTCTTCTGTACGATGAAGAGGAAAATACAACATGTACAGAATCAAAATTTCACAATATTCAAAATGAAGCAATATGAACATAAGATGAAATTAATTATTATTCCAATATCCAAAAGCAATTAAAGATAAACTTAAAACTGACCGAGAAATTAGTGAGTCTACCTCTGTTTGCAACAATTGCTGATTATACTGGCCTAGCAATTTAGACAGTGAGAGTCGATCATTGCAAGGGAGAAAGATAATCTCATGAAGTTTTTTAGTTGACAATGGCTAGGAGATTATGGTTGAGTTCTCAGAGTATCTGAAAGAAGGATGCAAATGCACTCAAGTAGTAGTTAATTTAAGATTAATGGCGACAAAATAAATTACTAAACAATTGTTACTAATGTAGATATTATTTGTAACTACACATCCTTAACATTCAATTGCCATTAATGTCCTTAAGAATTAGATTGCATATAGGTATCATTGAGTATTGACAATTCAAAATTTTCAATAAACAATTCTTCCTTGTAAGTGAGATTACAGATATTTCGGTGATAACAATTGTTTTTCCATGTTCATGCAGATTTAGTGGCACCATTGTTGGAGTCGGGGATAATGCTTCATCTGGATGGCCTGATTCAGAATGGAGATCTTTGAAGGTAAAGCTAATCTCATTTGGCATAACTTGTTGGGGGGTCCGTCCTCGTTGGCTTGACCCTTTCAACTGGAAGACTGAACACAGTTTGCTGTTGAAGTGTTGAAAATTTTCTATAGATGCTGCACGTGCTGATGGTTGATGTTTTGCATCACAAATTATTTTGTGTCTCAACTTAATTTAAAAAAAAAGACACGTGATTAAGAAACAGAGATTTGTATTCGAATGGAAATCTTAACCTATATACCTGTTCAGGTTCAATGGGATGAACCATCCTTGATAATACGTCCTGATAGGGTTTCACCTTGGGAAATAGAGCCACTGGTTGCAGCAACCCCTCCGAACTTACAGACTCAACAGAGAAACAAGAGAGCACGGCCAATTGTTTCGCCTTCTCCAATGCAAAATCTATCTCCGCTTGGTATAACCCTTTTCTCCTATGGCGTATATCAAATATTTGTTTAACAATGACTTTTGAAAACCAGCAATTGTTTCAAACAGGCATGTGGAGGGCACCTGCTGACTCCCCTTCGTCATTTTCGTTTCGCGACCCTTCACATGGTCGAGATATATATCAGTCGCCTAAACTTATTTCGGGCACCAGAGTCAATCCATTGAGTTACAACGATAATTCATTGCCTGTTTCAGGCAATCCTATGTACCAGCCTAATCAAATTGAAACTGCTTCAGAGTCATTTGCACCCATGACTGAGAAAAGGCAGGTGAATGGGTGCAGACTATTTGGGATTGAGTTGCTTGACCACTCAATAGTTGAGGACACGTCACCACCAGTCCAGCCTGGAGCAGTTGATGAGGATTCCGGTATCCCTTTAGATGCTGAATGTGAACAACAGTCTGAACCGTCGAATCATATCCTGTCTGATGTTCCCTCAGCTAGTTGTGAACCTGAGAAGTCATGCCTGAGATCTTCCCATGAGCCGCATGGCAGGCAAAGTAGGAGCTGTACGAAGGTAAGTTTAGCTTGTTACGACTTATCTTTTAAAATACCTCGTGATGTGGGAGGAAAGATATGTTGTAGACGGCCATTACCATTTTTTTTTATTCCAATCATCCCATGTAAGGTAGAGATGGGGTTTGGTGAAACTAACTGAAATCCATGAGAAGAATAAATAGCAATCCATATGTCCTCAATGCTAAACTTCATAGATCTTAAAGAAGTTGGCGTAGGAACTATATATCCAATGAACATTAGTTTATAAATACATGACAAATGGGAACCAGAGAAATGCAGAACAAGAAGTACAGACTCAAATAATTAAATCTAAACGTATAGTTAACAGACATGGAAAACCGTATCCATCTGTTGAGGTATAATTAGGTAATTCCTTTATTCTCTCTCTCTCTCTCTCTCTCTCTCTCTCTCTTATAATTAATAAATTGTAACTAGGGATACTGATTTATCGTAATTTTATTTCAATCCATATAATCAAGGGATCTTGCCTGTACAATTTTACCTTTATAAACATGCGTGCTTAGAGTCTTTCTCAACCAGTTCTTTTTCACAACTCTCCTCTAATGTCTGATTCCTCTCGAGCCCATTAAATGATATCTTATTACATATAAGCAACTGACAAATGAGAACCAGAAAATTGCAAACAAAAGCACCAACATAGAGACCACCAGAGCCCCAGAAATGAATTTAACCTCGAACCATAAGAAAACATATAATGAATAAATTTTTAAAACCGCAAAGATTGCAAGCACAAGTTCTTGTAGTAGAATGAATCTCTCCCAATGACCACAGGCCGACGCTCGGTATCACCACGAGTAAGAAGGCAAAGACCAGGTGTTGAAGGATACATTGAATTGTCATAAATGGGTTTTACCTAGTAATATGCCACTTTCTTGTTTCATTCTCTTTGGAGATGTCCTGCATTATAACTGTAAATAATGATGGCATGACATAAATTTTTAGGTGCACATGCAAGGTATTGCTGTTGGGAGAGCAGTAGATCTGACCAGGTTTGATTGCTACGAGGATCTACTTGAGAAATTCGAGGAGATGTTTGAAATTTTTGGGGAACTCAGGGGCTCAACAAAGAAATGGCAGGTTGTTTATACAGATTTTGAAGATGACATGATGATGGTTGGAGATGATCCATGGCAGTTAAGTCCAAACTCTTGGTTCCTCTCTCTCTCTCTCTCTCTCTCTCTCTCTCTCTCTCTCTCATATTTCCATACACATGTATTTTGCTTCTGGTTCTGTACCGTTTTCATTTAAGTATGATGTTTGTGTTATGGGCCATGGCAAGGTCCGTGCATTCAAGGCATAGTTTCGTTAGTTATTCCTGTTGCAATTCTTAGTTTTCCTCACTTCTGAAAGAAATTATTTGATTTCCTGTTTCAAGTGGGGATCTGTTCCATACTGCCTTTGGCATATTATTTTACTATCCCAGAGTATTGCAGCATTTGGTCTACTGGGCATGCTTGTCTAAAGTCCATACTTCTCTTATTATATGCAACTCATTGTTGTTGTTATTATTGTTGTTATTATTATTATTATTATTTTTGAAGGGAAAATAGTTGACATCCTGGTGAACACGCAGTAACTTTTTCCTACTTTATTGTTTCAGAGATTGGACATTTATATGTTTTGAGAAGATGCTAATACTGTGTTATCCGGTTTGTTAAATGTGTATTAGTGAATTTTGCAACATGGTGAAGAAGATATATATCTACACAACTGAGGAAGCCAAGAGGCTTGCACCCAAGATAAAATTTCCTCTGCCCGACGATAAATCAACCAAGCTCAATTCAGATGCTGCTGCTGTCACTGAGGAACAATCTTCAACAGTTGGATCTGATTACTGATTTTGTCATGCTTGTCAAGTAAGCTGTTTCCGAAAAGGAAAAAAAAAAAAAAAAATAATAATCAGAAGAACTGGCAAGTGACCTGCAAATGGCTTTTTCCCTCTCGTGTTAATGTTGTTTGTTGAATAATAATGTGGTGCCATAATAGTAAGGCTTCAGATATTGTATTATTTTGTTTGTATTTGTCACGAGAATTTTATAATGATGCTTAGTTTGGATCGAGTTGAAGTGCTCTCTGGCTCTATCCCCCTCTCCCGTTTTCGTTCTTTCTCTTGAAACTCGGCTAGTTGTTGATAAGTTTATGATTTTGTTTTCTTCTAACATTTCATGTTCTGTGTTTTTTGCACATAGATTTATATTGGTCATTTGTTTTTGGTTCTACTCTGCCAGCTTATTTGAAGGTTTGTTTTGTGCAATGTTATATATATATATATATATATATATATATATATATATATATATATATTTTCAACGACATAATTGATCTCATAATAAAAAGCCAAAAGGCAATGTACAAGCCCGGAGCCAAACTTACGTATAAAGCAAAAAGCAATTTTTCTCTCTATCAAGATGCTTATTGTCACGGGAACTTACACGGGTGTGAAAGCCCTTTTAATCAATCGACAGTCGCAGACCCTTTCATCGTCTTAAGAGGTCAAAGGGAGAGAATAAAGGGTACCTGGAATCAGAGACAAGCAAGGGGTTACCCAGTTGTGCAATGTTATATATATATATATATTTTTCCAACGACATAATTGATCTCATAATAAAAAGTCAAAAGGCAATGTACAAGCCAGGAACCTGGGAAAATGGGAGGTTGCAACTGCACCAATGCAACCTAGACGAAATAATCCTAGCAACGCTAGAATGACCATCACACAACACTAAAGCAAACTACAAGCACGCCAACAAAAACAACAGAAAAATAATCCTAGCAACCACACCAACAATAATCCTAGCAAATCGCAATGTTATATATTTGTTTTTGAATGTTTTCATTTTATGATAAAAAATCCCTTGTGTAAAAAATGAGAAGCAACATAGTTATTATGTGGTGTAGAGAGACATAATCTATACTTAAGTATAATAAGGTATCATATTTATCAAATTTAGTAGGTTGAAAAGTCAACGTAATTAATCCATTGCTATTTCTATCCAAAATTTTATTTAATTATTTTATTTATTTGTCTTATATCTCATAAAGTCAGTTTAAAAAAAATCTCATAATATCTGATAAGTAAAAAAAAAGGACGTAAAATTTTTACGAAAATAAAAAAAAAACTTTATTTATTTATCTTATTCCATATTAACATCGATTTTGTCAAACAAATTCCATAAAATCGGTGAAGTCAAAATTTGTACGTAAAGTCTATCTATATTAAAAAAAAGGCAGATTCGAAATTCCTTATCTATTTTCTTCTTTTCCTTATCTAATTCTTTCTTATTATCTAATTGTATGGAAATTTGTTCTGATTTTGTTCAATCCTCTAATTGTATTTGTATTATATCCCATAAAAACGATTTAACAAAAAAAAAACTCCACAACATCTGATAAGTAAAAAAAAGTACGTAAAATCTTTACTAAAATAAAAAAAAAACTTTATTTATTATCCAATTTATTATCTAATTGTATGGAAATATGTTCTGATTTTGTTCAAACCGATGTATATTCAGATTCAGATTTTCCAAAAAAAATATTAACAACAATATATATCTACTCTATCCATTATAAATTACAAATCTCAAAATATCGAGTCATCATCTTCCTCAATGTCAACTTCATGCGAACAACAAATATCCCCAATCAGTCTTTTATTCAAAACAATGAAACAAGGATTTGAGTTAATCAAACAAGTCAATAGGTCTAATAGACCTATGCTCAAAGTGCGAATTGTGAGAATATTTTTCCAAGACTGGGGCAACACATAAAAATCATATCTCGAGTTGGTTCTGCATGATAAAACTGTAAGCCAAATTATTTGAATTTTTGTTTTAATTTAGAAAATTGAAATGTATATTTTAGGTTTTTTTATTTTCGTGTATGTATTTAGATATTTTTTTACATGTTTAGTGAAATATATTTTCGATTATTTTTTAAATTATATTTTCAGATTTGCAACTTGGCTTATTTATTCTACATATCGTGCATGTATTTAGATATTTACATTATTTATATTTGTTTTCGTGTATTGTAAAACTTTTATTGAATATTGCATCTATATTATAATAATCCCCAAATAAATATATTCCGTGTCTCGCACATGTCACGTACTATATATATCCCGTACATTTTTCTTTATTCATTTATATAATTGTAAGGCTGGAAAAATGACCATAAAATTGTGCATCCCGTGCATCGCACGAGCTCTGTACTAGTACGACATTATACACGATTTAAAGTGCCCACAATATTTATTATTTCCTTTGGAGCAAAAAAAAGGATGTAAAATTATAAAATTTATATGGTGTGTAGTTGAATTGTGCTGATCTTTTACCTAATCTTTTGTCACCATAAGTGACAAATGATGTGAAAGTGTATAAATATTTTTTTTTAAATTAATTTGATGTATAATACAAGATCTTATCAATTGTCATGGTGTATTATGTCAAATTTTATGTTAACCATTTATAATTGTAACAAGATCCACGTGGTTAATATTTACACTTTAAGAGTTGTGAGAAATTAGAGAAGTATTTGATTACCGTGCCCATATGACTTAACAAGCTCGATCTCGGGTAGTTAACAAGCTTGAGCCCGATATGTAATCTTCAACGGTTGGGTTTGATTTTTGATTTTGTCACGACTTAACAAGTCCGATCTACAATCTTCAACAATTGGATCTGATTACTGATTTTGTCATTACTTAACAAGCTCGATATGTCTTCGTACTTTTTGGGGTGAAAAACTTAGCTTTTTATTGGGTGGTGTGAAATACACTCGAGTAGTTAAATAAACAAGCTCGTTTCTAATTAAAGTTCTAGTAAGTTACTAAGGGTCGCTACTTAGTCAATGGGCCGCATACTTTGACTTTCAAAGGCCGATTTCCATCTTAATCCCAACTAGATAATCTTTATAATCCAAAGCCCATGACATGGCCCAAATTCATAACAAATAAACAAAGCGCAAATCGCATCTGCTCGTACGGACCTCCATGCCACCGCCGTCGCTCAGCAGCGCCGTCGTCAATCGGCACTTTTGCTTCGTATCTGAATAAGGTAGCTAAGAGTATCCCTTCCTATATATTAATTCAAAACGTGTTGAGCCATGACTAAAATCTATGCTTCGTGATGTTGTTTTTATATTATTTTTGCTATGGAGTTAGGTTTGGTATTAGGCATAAGTAACTTTATACATATATGAATTAACTCAACACCCATGTTGTACATGGGTATTAGTACTAGTCTTTGTTTATTTCCTAATTCGAGACTGTATTTTCTCTTCTCTTGATGATTTCGTTTTTTTTTTGTTATTCCTCAATGATATGGGATATAACCTCATAGACCGAACCAGTCGAGTCTTGACTAAACCGGTTATTGACCTCACACCTAGACTACGGGTGTTGACCTTGCACCTAGACTACGGGTGTTGACCTCACACCTAGATTACGGGTATTGACCTTGCACCTACACTACGGGTATCGATCTCACCATCATAAGTAAAACCCTTGGACAATACCCGACTTTATATATAATCCCGAATAATAAAGTATTCGTACATAAGATAAACGTCTATATATATACGAGAAGAATTAATTTCTAGGGTAAGTAACATTTATTATCCAACAATCACAATACACTTACTGTTCATCTTCTTCCTCAAATATCCCAACACTAACTTAAGCTTCGGAGGGTTTTGACGCCGGAAAACCTCCGACGTCCCTTTGTAGGTACCCACAAGCTCCAGCGCTAACCGAAAACTAAACGAGGAAGCAATATTCTTGAGCCGAGGCCTCTCTGGACCGGAGCCATCCACGCTAGACCTTATCACTCAACAAATATGCCAAGCCTTTGCTTAGTAATCTGCTACCCGCTCGCCCAGATCGCCATCCGCCACAATCGGACCTAAAGTCATCACAGTCGGCGCCTTCGCTTGGGCCACACCCCCGCACGCAGCCACTTTCCTCGCAACCTTCTCCTCCACCCGACGGCTAGTCTGCCGATTATTGTCGATAACGAAGGTAAGCAGTAAAGAAATTTGAAGCATAAACTATGTCACAATGATTTGATTGTTATAATTGAGTGCAAATTGTAATTAAAAAAAATCAAAATTCTTTCTTGATTTGTGTGCCATTAGATGGTAATTTTCAAACCCATTCTTCTCCTCGTGCCATGTGATGGAAATTTACTGTCAATGGCCAACTTGAGCTTAATAAATAAACAATTGGCACTCCCAATCTCACTATAAATATGTGTGTTCGGGCATAAAGAATTGGACAACAAAAAGAAGAAGAAAAGAGAGGAAAGAAAGGAAAAGAGAAAGAAAAGAAAAGATAGATTTATGTCCAAATGGATATAAAAATATCAAAAGAGAAGAAACAAGTGATATTTTTATTTGTTTCAGAATATTCCTTTTTATTACTAAGTGCTCAATTCTCGATTCCGTTCCCGTTCGTAGGAGCTCGTAAATCTTGTGTGCTACAGATTTAGAGACGTTTGTCGTTGTATCTTTGGGGAAGTTACGCCTGAACCGTTAGCTGCCACACAGGGCGTATTCTTCTTGGGAAAAGGTTTTACTCGCCTCGGCTAAAATTTTTCCGTTTTTGAGTTGTAATTTATTTTTCAATTCAATTGTAATTTTCTATTTTTAGATTATTTGTAAGAACTGAAAATATATATCAGTTCGGAGGATTCCCGTGTAATTTTGACACTAAATATCCAACAATTTTATTTGTTTCAAAATATTTCTTTTTATTACTAAGTGCTCCATTCTCAATTCCGTTCCCGTTCGCCGGAGCTCGTAAATCTGGTGTGCTACATATTTAGAAACGTTTGTCGTTGTA